GGAGGAAGGTTAAAGTCACTCCGAGAAATCATCTAAACACGGTAAATGTGACATTTTAACGGAAAACTTCTGACAAGTAGCACCTTAAAGATCTGCTCGACAGAAATCGTCGACGGTTTTGGAGTCCTGTGGGGTAAAGTTAGCAGAAAGGGAGCAGTTAGCGGTTAGCACGAACAGCCCTGCTGTCATTGAAGGAAAGTCTCTCACAACGTTAGCTGCCGACACTTTATATGAACAACTGTAACTATTCGGTTTTTTATCAGAGATGGGAGGCCAGGTTTGGAGTTATTTGTTCAGAAAATGTCGGGGAAATGCGGGAACGACCGTTAGCTTCACGGCTAACTGCTGCTGCTCGTCCTCTGTTATAACCAACAGAGTAACTGGACGTTTATATGTATGTTTCAGCACTTTCATATGTATGTTTGCGTTTTTGTATATTTCTATTGTGAACAAATGTCTGGATAATCAAATGTAGCTAAACCCATAGAAGACGTAATTAAAGTTGATCTGGTTTTCATGATGTTAAAGAAATCCTAAAGAAATAAAAAAAGATCCAGCCCTCAATTTCCTTTGACTGAGCAGCAACACTCAGCAGAGCAGCAGTTTAAAGTGGATCTTTAGGCTGTTTGAACCGATCTCCAGCAGATGAAGAGGATCTGAAAGGTAAAGAGGAACAGATCCAGCTGAACAGGAGCTGAGAGCTGCATCTGGACCTCCAGCTGACCGTCTCCTGGTGGCCTCATCAGAAATGCTCTCCATGAAGGCGGGCTGTCAAGAAGCCCCTCTGAAGGAAGGAAACAGAGAGGAAAGGTGTCGCTCTGCCAGAGGAACCAGAGGTGGACTGAACCCCAGCAGCTCTGATGGAGGGATGGATCCTCCGGAGCCAGAGCTCCACATCATGAAGCAGTGTGGGATCATCTGACAGAGAACGGAGCCAAGGGCAGCAGCCAAAAGGCAACCAAAGGCTCCTGGAGACTCTTCCCAGAGAGGAGCTGCTCCTGGAGCCTCCTCAGTCTCTTCCTTTATATCAGCTGTTCTTCAAACGTGTGACTCTGTGTGACCTTTAACCTTTAAATCTGTTTTTAAATGGAACAGAGGTGATTCATCTGTGTCATAACTCCCCCTTCTG